GTTATATTGTTAGAAGCATTATTTTCAACTCAAATTGAAGTTTGTTTTACAAAAATCACTGTAATTAACATGAAAATTGTACTAAACAGTGAAAAAATTGCATAAAACTATATTATAGGTAAACGTTATTATATATATTAAAGTTAACTATAACGTTATATATAAGTTATAAATAAACTTTAACTATTTTATTTTTTTATTGTTAGAAGCATTTATTTGCAAATCGAACTGAAATTTGTTTTACAAGTATCACTGAAATTAACATAAAAATTATACTACACTGCGGAAAAATGCATAAAATTATTGAATAACGCATTTCAAAAGAATTTCAATCCCTTTCTGGCGGTTTTTCCATCTCCAATCCTGTCCAATAATAGCGAATAACGTCACTTTCTAAAGCTTGATGAATAAGCCGTAAGACAAGCAGATTTTTCAGACACGATGCACAATTTCCAATAGACAGGTGTGAAATCAATATGGATCCGTGTTACTCAAAGCTAGTGTTCACATTCATCTTATTTTATTCTATCACTAAAAAATTTCTAATTTGTTGCATATTACCTATTTTTACACTTATATGGTCCAGCCACCTCTTGAGCATTGTATTCAATGTAATAGTAGCAATTCTGATGTACAAAATTGCAAAAAGACTGTTCATGAATGAGGAAATAAAGCCAGATAATAAAGCCGTTTTGATTACAGGTAAATTCTAATACATTTATGTTTGTAGAAAATAGTGTCTGATTTATTTATTTATTTATCTATTAAATGAAAGAGAAATATAAATAGGAGGTTTTTGTAAAAAGAAAATGTTTGTTAATTGTAATCTGAAAAACAGGCTAGATGAATGCTGTTTTTCTTAATGTTTAGGACACAGATAGTTTGCAAATAGTAATGCGTCAAACCTATAACATACTGTAGAATATTCATCATCATAATCATCAGTGGCGCAAACAGCCCCATGTTGGGCTAAGGCCGTTTGCTTACTGGTAGATTTCGAAATAGGATGCAGGAGATGGAGAGGAAATAGGAGATGTTTTCTTTTTACAGGGTAGGTTTGTCAGTCCTACGCCCAACGTTCTACAGTCATATTAGACTTGAGACCTGAAGGGCTGAGTGTCTATCACTCTGGCGCTCGGTGCCACAGGTTTCGGATTCGAATTTCCCCGGTGCCATGGATGTTTGTGGTGGTTCGGAATCCACTTTAAACCGTAGGTCCTGACCTCATATGATTGTAGAGCGTTACGGAACCCAATCAGACTTCTTACCCACATCACCTATTTGTTGTTATTTTGTATTCTTTTTTTTTTATTATTAATTTATTTAATACTGCAATAGAAATTATTATTTTTCCCACCTCACCATTCTATCATACTAAATTCTTTTACACTGAGTATTTATTCATTTTGCAATCATATATACAATATGTTTAAATCTAGTTCAATAGGTTTAAAAGATGTGCCACAGAATACTATGGAAAAAAATCTTTCGATATATAAATAAACCTTTCGATGCCTGTTGACAAAAAATATAACTTTTTCCTAGTAAGTTGAATAAGAAGCGTATTTACAATATTATTTGTAAAATACTTTGTTTTTCCTAGGATGTGACACTGGATTTGGGAACGGGATTGCAAGGAAACTGGATGCAGAAGGATTCCATGTTTTTGCAAGTTGCCTTAACGCTTCGGGTGCTGGAGCTACTGACCTCAATAAGGAAACTTCGGAACGTTTGAAAATTCTAGAAATGGATGTCACCAGTGATGAGAGTGTGCAAAAGGCAGTGGAATTCGTCAAGGAAAATTTAGGGAAATGCAGTAAGTTACAAAAATAAAAAGCGATTTATTTTTGTAAAAATTTATTTTTTAAAAATTTTTAAGAATAATTTCATATTCTGGTGTTTCCATCTGTTGAAAATCATATATATCATAGTAGTCTGGTATTAGAAAATCATAGTAGTTTATAAAATCATATAGTTATCTTTGTTTTTCCTAATAAAATGTAGTACAACTCTCAAGTTGTTAATATTCACATCATGTAACAATCAATTTAGGATAATTTTATTTTGTAGAATAATTTTATTTATTTTATTCGTTTATTCGAAATTAAATTAATTAATTATTCAGAAATAAAGAGATTATTTCTTTCTTGAAACATTTTTGTGTATAAAATCTTCTAGAAGGAGAGGAAAAATGCGTTTTGTTTATAATAAAACTTATTTTTTATACAACAACTTATTTACTACTGTGTCCAAAAAGTAAGACCAATTTTCAATTTAAATTTACCGGGCATATGGTATTTCAATTTTTTTTTTCTTTTTTAAGTTGTTGGCACTCTTCTTGATATCTGTGTGAAATTTGACGTCAAAATGTTCATTAGTGCTTGAATTACGCTTGGTTTTGTGAGACACTAAAACTGATTCCGGTGATTTTTGAAATGTCTGAATTAATTGAGCAAGAACTTGCGTCAAATTTTGTTTGCGGAAACGTATAGAGTGTTGCAAAATGCATTCGGTGAGCATTCCTATAGCGGAAAGAAATGTTTACAAGTGGTAAAAACAGTTCAAAGAAGGCAGAGAACGCGTTGAAGACGAAGAGCCCTCTGGTCGACCACCAACCTCAACCGACTAAGCTCACGTCCAAAAAATTAAAGATTTGGTGCTTGCAAACCGTCGATTTACAATTAGAGACCTTGCTACTGATGTTGGAATTTCAAAACTCTATTTTAAAAGACGTTTTGGGCCTCAAACGCGTCAAATCTCGATTGGTACCGAACACTGAATGCGCCAGCTCATACTGCATTGATTCTTCGTGACTTTTTCGCCAGATATGAAACCCATATCGTTCCACAACCTCTGTATTCATCTGATTTAGCATCGTGCTACTTCTGGCTATTCCCTAAACTCAAAAGATCACACCGTTTTGAGTCGATTGAAGAGGCATTTCAAAAATCGCCGGAATCAGTTTTAGCATCTCACAAAACCAAGCGTAACTCAAGCACTAATAAACATTTTGTCGTAAGATTTCACACAGATGTCAAGAACGGTGCCAACAACTTAAAAAACAACAACAACATTGAAATACCATATGACCGGGAAATTTAAATTGAGAATTGGTCTTACTTTTTGGACACAGTAGTATAAGTGTTTTAAGGCTAATGTAGTGCTTATGTTTTAATAGAGCTGTGGGCTGTAGTCAACAATGCTGGTGTTTTCAAAGGCATATCTGTTGAACTGTCGAATATTCAAGAGTTTAAAGATTGCCTGGAAGTTAATGTAATTGGTCAAGTAAGAGTTACAAAGGCTTTCCTTCCTTTACTAAGAAACTCTCAGGGCAGAATAGTAAATGTCACTAGTTTAGGCGGTTAGTATAAAATATTTTTTTATTTGCTTTCTTCTGGTGATATTTCATTTTTTTTTTTTCAGTCTTTATGCACTTAATTGAGAATAACAATTTAATAAATATAAGACAAATTTAAGTGAATCACAAAAAGAAAAAAAATTAATTACTCTGGGAAAGATATTAGATCGTATGTTAATACCTTGTTCTAGAGCAGAGTGAATGAGAATATTGCACTTTTAGAATGATTATTTTACCAATTATAGAGAGAATATCCATGAAATTTTAACCAGACCACTATTGCACTTTTAGAA